AAATAGTCTCTAAAAATCAATAGATTTATTATACTAAAGATTTTCATGGACTGTAGTCCACTTTTCCAGATGTGTCTGAAGTGGACTGTAGTCCACAAAAAACATATGTTATAACACATCTGTTAATCTTTAAGACACCAACATGTCTTTTTATTGTTGTTACTATGATAGGTTACAGCTACCCCATGGAAATCTTTGCAAAAGGCGTTTACCATAGAACTTGTTTAAAATTCCTTAAAATGTTATGGCCTGGCTTTTTAGATATCCTTCACTGTCAACAGCTTAAGTACTACATCAGAAAAAGGTGTCCACTAGCAGTTTTTAAACTAATACAAAAACATGGATCAATGTGGATCCCAGTTAGGAATGAAATACTGTGTGAAGTTCTGGTGTCTTTGAAACAAATATCTAAGAAATGTTTGGCTACAATTGACATTTTTACAGACATTTGGTCTGCATTTTCTGAAACATCAGTGATTAAATCCATATTGTTGGCTACTTTCCCCTCTGATCTGCATCTTTCTTTACATCTTGTGAGAAATTTATGAACAAAGTTATTGTTAATCCATACTGTCTGTCTCACCATTTAGATTCTTTTCAACAATCTTACTTTGCCAATATAGATAAACAATCTTCAGCAGGATTAACGCATACTACTTCATAATCACAATGGAAAGGAAAGGAAAGGAAACAAGGAGCTGAAGTTCTGTTTGATGTCAGTCAGAAGCTGAAAATATACACATGCTAGAAATGTGTAGATTTCCTCAATTACTATCTAAGCCTTCAGGGTATAATGAAGCTATTTTCAGGAAAGCTGGTTCCTCATAAAAATGAGCTTAAATTCATATTTTAATATTAGCTTGCTTTAATAAAGGAGAAAAGTATGAAAATAGTATACAGAGTATTAGCACTTTACCTTATTTTTTTTACCAGATCTCATTTGAAAGCACTAAAAAACTATAGTATTCAGTATTTGAATTATAGAAGCCATGGTTTCCTTAAATGTTGGGATGGCATTGCAGTATCTGTTTACTAAATACAGTATATACTGCAGCCAGATCTGTCTTAGTGTATAAGATTAGGACCTTAGCCTTCTCTCAACAGCATAACTTGTACATTGGGCCTTTAGCGGATAATTGTTTTGGGAACAGGATGACTGTAACATAGTTGCTATTAAAAGTAAAAAAAAAAAATGCACTCCTATCAACTATCAATATAATTTCATTTTTTCACCTTGTTTTGCCAAAGGAATACTATTCACATGCATGTTTCCTCAGCAACTGTATACCTAGCAGTTCCATGTTCTTCGTGCTAAACTTGTGAAATTACAATACACAGTTGTTCTCCTCATTCCAATAAATTTGATGCAGGGATGTTTAGATCTAAGATGAGATGAGATACTGAAACAGTCAGTTTTTAGGAATATTAACATTTCTTGCTCAGTGGATAAGTCTGGAAAAATAGCTAAAAAAAGAGAACCAGGTGGACAATAACTTATATATCAAGGAAAAAAGCTCTGACATTGGAGGAAGAGGAGAATAATAGCTAGGAAGTGAGAGAATTTGAGGATTTGGTAGAAATCTTTTGGGCCACTTCACTGCATGATATATTGAGATTTCTGATAGGGTACAAGGAAGTCATATGTAAAGTAAAAAGAAAAAAGATTATCAGATGTTTTACAGACTTCAGAACTCCTTGTATCAGCAGCCAATTGTATGATAAATGGCAAGGCAAAGCTATTAAATTCAGTACGGGAAGGCTACTTCCAAGAAGTACATTTTAAAATTATAAATTATAGCTAAGATAATAAGCATTCCTTCCATGGCTAAAAGAGCTTCTTCCCTTCCCAGAAGGCCTTAGAATGAAGTAGAGGAACTTCTGACCCTCAGAACGTAGCTGGACACCTGCAATCCTTACCTATGTTACTGAATGTGATGTTGGGAGTCCAATAACATCTGGAAGAGAAAAGGGATTTAAGTTCCCCAACTTCTAATTCAGTCAAGGACTCTGCGAGTGAAGGTGAGTCTCTTTTCTGCTTGAGAGGCATTTTTGAGGATTGCCCTCCAAAGAATTAAAGGGTCTTCAAGGAGAACTTCAGACAGGAGAACATACAGACTGACCAACCTGCCTATGGCTCCCTATTGGAAGGAAATCTTTCTGTCTTTGTAGGAGCGTTCCTGAGACAAGTTTATTACTATAACACAGAGTTATTTTTTACATGATAGAAATAGGCAAAGCCTAGCATGGAGCTACTGTAACTACATGCTACCTGAATTATCTGAGATCAGCAATGTTTTAAATCAACAGGCAAGGTAATAGACAAAGCAGGGTCCAGAGAAATTCTCTACACTCAAAGGTTGTGAAGTACTGAGGAATCAATGGCCCTGACATTACATTTTAATCCTCTCTCCTCTGCTTGTTTTTTCAGCTTTTAGTGTTGAAGCAAAGAGTCAGTTTTAATTCCATTCAAAGGAGCTGATTCACACATTAATATAATTAATTTGATTCCTTATCATTTGATCATACAGAGAGAAATCTGTGAACTTTTTGGATTGAATTACTTTTCTTGATAACAAGAGAAATGAGAATTATAATTATACTAATTAATTTGTGTTTTCTCATTTCACACATGCAAGTCTTCACTTGATATTATAAATAATGAGCCATTTGCCCTAAGTTTATTTACAATAGACTAACTGATCAGCAGTTTCAGAAGTGGAGGCTAGCATTAAAAAGAGAGAGAAATATTTATGCCACTCTTCTTTACATAAAAACAGGTCATGCTTATTATATATAGGATCATCTGTTTTTGAATGCCGATTTGGAAACACATCCCTTCATATATTTAAAATAGAAATAATTCCAGCCTGGTTTCTCTTTTGTTTTACATGAATAGATTTTTGTGATCTCACTAGACTTTTCTGGCTATTACTTGCACTTTCTGAGCCAGCTGATTCCTCAGCAATGTTTTAAAATCAGGAACCACTGCTTTCTAGTCTAGCCTTCTATAATCTGTCCATTCAGAAGGAAAACTGGAGAGTTCATGGACTTTCAAAAAAGGCATTACAAAATGCTGGATATAAACAAAGGATGCAGCACAGCTTTATTTTCTGCAGCCAAGACTTTGGATGGAAGGGGTCATTTTAGATTACTGTGGATTCTGGTGGAAGTTCATTGCAATCAATGGTAGATATGTGAAAATTGCATGAGAGTGCATGGAGAGGTTGATGATATCTGCATTGTCTTAGCTTGCTTACCTTCTGCACTGTTATTTCTGCAGCTACTTTTTAAAGAATTTTTTAAAATTCTTATATGTTTCAAGGAAAGCCTTTTACTGTGGCAGCTCCCTGACTTAATAGAATTTATGGGTGTCACCGCTAGATCCTTATTATACCTTTCCCACTCACACTGCTTTCTGTAGTCTCTATCTTCTTTTTGCTTTCCACAGAAATCTCATTTAAGCAGGACAAGATGAAATACATAGCTATATATTATGTTTTGTTGCTAGACCACAGAGTCCTTCATATGGAAACACCCTCAGGAGGCATCACCTTTTGAGAGTTGAGGGTTGTAAGTGGTCCTTGAGAGCATTCTGGGACTGCGCATTTCATGTCTGTGTGTCTGTAAATTAAATTTGATAACATGTTTAACATTATTCTAATCTTCATGGAAATAAATCCCTTCCATCACACTGAAAATTCCAATCTGGAAGTAACTTTGGGAGGGAACCTGGGGCACAGCAGCCAGTACAATCTAATGGTGCACTTTAGTTTTAAATAAAAAGATATATCAGTCAATAGGTCTGCTTCTTAGTATCTAGAGGTGTGCATATTTATTTATCACATAAGTATTCTATCATTTATTTTAGATTAGAAAGACTAGAAAACATGAATGTGAATTCATATTATATGCCCCTTGAATGTCACATCTGGCTTAAGACTTAAGATCAGTTTCTTAGTCTTCTACTCCACATCACTTATGAGAATAGAATAGAATAGAATAGAATAGAATAGAATAGAATAGAATAGAATAGAATAGAATAGAATAAACAGAGTAGGTTAGAGACCTTGGAGGTCTTCTAGTCCAATCCCCTGCTCAGGCAGGAAACCCTATACCATTTCAGATAAATGGTTGTCCAAACTCTTCTTAAAAACTTCCAGTATTAGAGTATTTACAACTTCTGGAAGCAAGTTGTTCCATTGATTAATTGTTCTAACTGTCAGGAAATTTCTTCTTGCTTCTCTCCTTGATTAATTTTCATCCATTCTTCTTGTCCTGCCTTCAGGTGCTTTGGAGAATAGCTTGATTCCCTCTTCTTTGTGGCAACCTCGGAGATATTGGAACACTGCTACCATATCCTAGTTCTTGTCTTCATTAAACTAGACATACCCAATTCCAGCAACCATTATATGTTTAGCCTCCAGTCCCCTGATCATCTTTGTTGCTCCTCTCTGTACTCTTTCTAGAGTCTCAACCATATTTTTTACATCATGGTGACCAAAACTGGATGCAGTATTCCAAGTGTGGCTTTACCAAGGCATTATAAAGTGGTATTAGCACTTCACGTGATCTTGATTCTGTCCTTCTGTTAATGCAGCCTAGAACTGTGTTGGTTTTTTTGGCAGCAGCAGCACACTGCTGGCTCATATTTAAGTGATTGTCCATAAGGATTCCTAGATCCTTTTCACAGTTATTACCATTGAGTGAGGTACTATCTATACTGTACCTGTGCATTTGGTTTTTCTTGCCTAAATGTAGAACCTTACTTTTTTCACCAATTTCATTTTGTTATACAGGGCCCAATGTTCAAGTCTGTCAAGATCCTTCTGTATCTTAAGCCTATCTTCTGGAGTGTTGGCTATTCTTGCCAGCTTGGTGTCATCTCCAAATTTGATGAATTCCCATCTATCCCCTCATCCAAATCATAGATGTGGGCCTAAAACAGAGCCTTGGGGCATCCCACTGTATATGAGCCTGGTGTCATGTATATGAGCCTAGTCTCAAATAAAGATTTTATAAACAAAAATCTTTCTTTGTTTTTATGGCTTAAAGAAAATAATAGAAAATGTGAATCTCTCCTTTACTGAAGTTAAAAGAGTGCAACTGGATGTTATCCAACTTAGTTGGCAGACCTGCTATATAATATTCAATTTTTTTCTCTTGCAAAGTGCCAAAAGAATGTGAAATCAACCTCTACATTTCATTACAAGTGGTGAACAATTGGCAGAACAAAGCACTCATTGTCTTAAAGCACAACTTTTTCTGCAAAGACTGCATGTATGACAAAATAATAAAGTTCAGAACATTAGTGAGATTTTAAGATTATCTAGATCTTGTTCCTATATCACTCCTTCTAACATGAAGTCATGAAGATATAGAACATTTTTGAATCACTATTTCAATGCTTCCATCTTCTACATGGAAGAAAACCGGATGCATGAAGGCCGTAAATTATGCTAAATAGTCCTAAAGCAACATTCTGCTTAAGATACATTTTCTTACTCTCATCCCTAGTTTCCTTCCAAATTTAAGCTTCCCAATCCTAACTGCAGCATACAATATTTTCAGATAGATCATAATTAGTGTGCATGAAAAAACATTTGCAAGAAATAAGGCAAAATTTTACTTTATATTTACCTTTAAATTTTTAGCCCAAATATATGAATAAAGCCAAATGATATCTGTGGACCATATAGCATTTCTTCCAGTTTATTGGTAAAGATTTCAGAAATGTTTTCCTGTCCTAAATTTTCTCTAAGAAAAAGGAAGGTCCCCCTCTCTCCAAGTACTCCCACCAAATCATAAATTATAAAACATAATAATTTGGAGTTGTGCTTTCTCTATTCCATACTGTCTTTACTCAGTATTTCATCAGTGAAATATTGGTCAAGATGCATCCAGAAAAATTATCAATTTCGTCAAAGTTATCCAACTTCCATACATACATATTTTAAGGCATTTGGGGAGAAGCGTCTATAAAACAGGAATTCTCTGGAGAAATGGATCTTGCTGATTCTGATTAGGATTTGCAAAGCCGTTTAGCTACTTCTGCATAAGCTATTTCAATCTCTTTGTCTGCAGCACAAGTGTTGATGAATTCATCCCGAGCATAAGCATTGTTCAGGTATTGCCACAGTCTTGTCATTTCTGCTGGGAATTCATAATTTCTGTATTTCTTTGTTACAATCTAAAATGCAAATGGAGAGCTTTAATACTTATAAATATTATTGGTTTGATTAAACATAAAATAAAGGAAATAACACTTTATAATGATTTTTTTGAGCTTGACACAATGATTATTTTTTTGCCACTGACAATGCTTATTTTTGTTTAAAGTTGTTACTGATGTTTTTATATGTTTATATATTGGGTTTTAACTTGTTTTTGTTGGATTGTTATGAGCTTCCCAGAATAACTTAGGTGAGATGGGCAGCTATACAAATCAAATAAATAAATAAATATATATATATATATATATAATATTTATATTTTTAAAAAGCCAGTTTGGTGTAATGTTTAAGGAATCAGACTAGAAACAGAAAAACTGTGAATTCTAGGTCTGCCTTAGGTATCCACCCAGCTGGATGACTTTGGGTTATCACTCTCTCTCAGCGCTAGGCAGGAGACAATGGCAATCCACTTCAAGAAATATTGTCTAGAAAACTATAACATTCATTCAAGCAGCCTCCAAATATCAACACTGTGTCAGAACCACCAGCTTTGGCTTCGCACCTCACCAGCATTCTGTCATCAGTGAGAGAAGAGAGGAGAACAAGGGGGGAACAAAAGATTGGTTCACTGTGTACTTTGATGATGGGAAATTGGGAGGGGGAGCATTGACAGTTGAAGAAGAACCGAGCAGTTTGGAATCCATTTCTTGCTGGCACCCTGGCATCCTCAAGGCCATTTGCTCTGAACGTGGAATTTCACCAGCCCAAACACCTCAGAATTCCGCATAATAACACAGTGGTGCTGAATTGGCTATGCGACGGACCAAGGGGGGAGGGTTCAGGGAAAACAGGGCTTACAGTTCTGTATTGGCACACGGAATTTTCAGAGTCCGCTTGACCTTACTGCAACCAGTATTCCTTAGTAAAAGTGCCTTTTCACTTCAAATGGTGTTGAGAGTTTTGCTTCCTTAAGGGATTAAACTGGGGCAAGTCTAATATACTGGCTGAAAGGCACACATACACACAAAAAGGGAAAATAAAAAACATGCACTCCATGCTTGCACACAAAGAGCAGGACTTGTGGCACAGCAGTACTTTTACTATTTAGAGGAAACATTAACAATGCAATAAGTTAGAAACTTTGACCAACCATAGAAATGATATATTAATTTTGACAGAAAAGAACTAAACCAGGAGAGAGATAAATGTGTGCCTAATTCTGCCAATAGAGGCCAGTAAGCCTTCAAGAATCTTAACCAATAGTTTGAAATCAACTTGACTAAATGATAATAGTATTAACTGTCTTAGGTATATATAATTAGCTTTATGGAAACCTCAGCAATCAGGAAATATATTTAGACAGATTGGCTTACTTTACATAGTTTATCTTCCTAAGCAGCATGAAGAGGTGTCTGTGCTGAATTTATTTGCCAAACATCAATCTTAATTAGATGCCTTTTGCAGAATCTGATGTATTTTCTGCCCTATTTATGTCTTTACACTATAAAAAACCTTTAAATATGTATATGACAGCAAAATGATAAACATGGTCCTGTATAATTTAAAGTAAACAGGTTTTGCCAATTATTGTGCATCCTGTTTTCTTTGACATGCCTCCATCTGCCACTACTGTCTAACATGTGGGCAAAATGCATACTTTTCACAGTAACTTTTATGTCTTCATTCACTCATCTTTTTTTTCCTCTCCCAAATTTCAGAAAGAAAATGCTTCACCCATAGGATGCTTTGGAACCTTTGACTTATCATTCAATGAAAAAAGCCAATCAATCAGAATACAACTGGAAGGGACCCTGGAGATCTTCTAGTTCAGCCCCCTGCTCAAGCAGGAGATCCTATATCATTTCAGACAAGTGACGGTCCAGTCTCTTCTTAAAAATCTGCAGTGATGAAGCACCTATAACTTCTGAAGGCAAGCTATTCCACTGGTTGATTGTCCTCACTGTTAGGAAGTTTCTCCTTAATTCCAAGTTGCTTCCCTCCTTGATTAGTTTCCATCCTTTGTATCTTGTCTTGCCTTCTGGTGCTTTGGAAAATAATTGGCCCCCTCCTGTTTGTGACAGCCCCTCAGATATTGGAATACTGCTATCATGTCACCCCTAGTCCTTCTTTTCTCTAGATTAGCCATACCCAATTCCTGCAACTGTTCTTCATATGTTTTTGTCTCTAAGCCCTTAATCATCTTAGTTGCTCTTCTTTGCACTTTTTCCAAAGTCTCAACATCTTTTTTGTAATGTGGTGACCAAAACTGGATGCAATATTCCAGGTGTGGTCTTAATAAAAAATTATAAAGCGGTATTAATACTTCATGTGATTTTGACTCTATGCCTGTGTTTATACAACCAAGGATTGTATTGGCTTTTTTGGCTGTTGCTGCACACTGCTGGCTCATATTTAAGTGATCGTCCACTAAGACTCCAAGGTCCCTCTCACAGTTGCTGTTTTTGAGCCAGGTTTCACCTATTCTTGCACCCTTGGTTTTTCCTGCCTAAGTGTAAAATCTTGCTTTTCTCCACATTAAATTTCAGTTTGATGGATAGGGCACATTGTTCAAGTCTGTCAATATCTTTTTGAATCCTGAGCTATTCCTGCCAACTTAGTGTCATCTGCAGATTTGATGAGCTCCCATTCTATTCCCTCATCTAAGTCATTTATGAAGATATTGAATAGTCCTAGGCCTAAGACCAAACCTTGTGGTACCCCACTGCTTACTTCTTTCCATGTAGATGTGGTACCATTAAGTACTTGTCAGCCAATTATAGTCAGCCAGTTACAAATCCATCTGGTGGTGATGCCATCCATTCCACATTTTTCTAGCTTACCAAGAAGTAGATTGTGTCTACTTTGTAAAATGCCTTGTTGCAGTCTAAGTATAATATGTCCACAACATTTTGCTCGGTGGTGGAATTCAACCGGTTTGCACCAGTTCAGCAGAACCGGTAGCTAATTGTTTGTTGAGTTCGGTGAGCTGGCTGAATCCCACCACTGGATGGCACCCACTGAAGCCCTAGCCCTTTTTCACAAGACCCAGAACGGAAGTGCATGGATGTTGCTTCTGGAAGTCCGTTCTGGGCCTCAGAGGCTTGGAGGAGTCCTCCCAGGCCCAGAACGGCCTGCTGGAAGTGCGTTGACACCACTTCCAGAAGTCCATTCTGGGTCTCAGATGTCCAGGCCCAGAACAGACTTCCAGACTTCCACGCAAAGAACAAGTTGTTCACTATTTGAATCCCACCACTGATTCTCCAGTCTACTAATTTAGTCACTTTGTCAAAGAATGAAATAAGATTGGTTTGGCATGATCTGTCTTTAACAAACCCATCGTGACTTTTAGTTAAAATTTTATTTGTTTCTAGGTGTTCGCAGATTTTTTTTTTATTAACTTTTCCAGTATCTTCCCAGATGTTAGGCTGATTAGTCTATAGTTTCCTGGGTCTGTTTTTTTCTTTTTTAGAAAATGGGAACGGCATCAGCTCTTTTCCAATCTTCAGGTAATTCCCTGGTGTTCCAGGATTTTTGAAAGAGATGGTATAATGGTTCTGAGATAACATCTGCCAGGTCCTTTAAAACTCTGGGATGTACCGTAATCCATCAGATCCTGGTGATTTGTATTCATGAAAATCAGATAGATGTTCTTTAACCATTTTCTTGCTTATTTTTAATTCTAGTCTGTTTTTTAGTTAGGTTTTTGATAGGTTAGGCTACAATTTCTTTTTGCATGAAGACTTATGCAAAGAATGAGTTAAGCAGCTCTGCTTTCTCTCTACTGCCTGTTACTTACTTGCCATCTTCTCTCTTAAGTGGACCTACTGTTCCCTTTACCTTTTTCTTGTTATTTATATGTTGAAAGAAACTATTATCTTTGAATTTTGTTGCAAGTCTTTGTTCATTCTGAGCCTTTGCTTTCCTGACTTCATCTTTCCAGATTCAGGCTATCTGCTGATACTCTGCCTTAGTTATGTGTTCCTCTTTTCATTTTTTGTATTTGTCCTTTTTGTCTTGCAGTTTATCAGAGAGATCTTTGTGCAGCCATGCTGATTTCTTCTTGGATTTCTTGTCTTTCTTTTTCAGTGGTATTGTGCTGCACTGGGCTTTTATGATCATATTTTTCTGAGTTTCCCATTCTTCTTGAGTTGTTTTCCCCTTTAGGATTTTCATCCATGGAATTTTTCTTAGGCTCTCTCTGAGTTTGTTAAAATCAGCTCTTTTAAAGTTTTCAAAGACACTGGTTGGATTATGTTCTTGCTTTTGTTTGCATTATATTGAATTCCATTATGAAGTGGTCACTCTCGCCCAAAGTTCTAGCAACTTCGACTCCCTTTATCACTTCTTCTCTATTAGTAAGAAATAGGTCTATCATAGTCTTTCCTCTAGTTGCCTTCTCTTGGATGACAAAGTTGTCAGTTAAGTTGGTTAGGAATCTGTTTGATCTTCCACTTGCTGCTGAGTTTGCCTCCCAATTGATATCAAGGTTGTTAAAGTCTCCCATTACTACTGTGGTATATTTCCTACATACATTTGTTAGTTGTTTAGCAAAAAGTTCATCTATTTCTTCTGCTTTGTTGGGTGGCCTGTAATATATGCCTATAGCAATGTCATTCATTTTCCTTTTATATTGACCCATGTGGATTCTAGGAGGTTTTCAATTCTTAGTTTTGTGGATTTCTGTAGATTTTTAGTGATCTTTTATATATAATGCAACTCCACTTCCTCTTTTGTTAGGCCTGTTTCTTTTGAATAGTTTGCATGATGACCTTTGGCCAGCATGAAGCCAAGCCTCCCCCAAATTTGACTTTTTCCAGATGTGTGGACTTCAAGTTACAGAACCCTCAACAAGGTCAGGCTGGCTGAGAAATTCTTGGCACTGATGTTCACACATCTGGAGGACAGCTAGTTGAGGAAGCTTCCTGTATCTATGCCAAAATGTTTGACATGACTTTCTAAAAATAGGTGTTCAGAGATTTTTCAAATTTGTACATCCTGGTAAGGTTGTTTTAATCCCATGTAAAATATATTTAACTTGGAAAAATACACTTGACTTATGAAGCCATATGAATTATGAAGCCATCATTTTCTAGGATGCTTCACGTGTCAGAAGGGACATAGAATGATAGAGATGGAAGGGGCTATTTAAGATATCAAGTCCAATCTTGTGCAAGATTCAATCTGAAGCATCTATAACAAATGGCTCTCTGTTATATCTGTTTCAGTACATGCATTGAAGAAGAGCCTCCTGACTCTCTGAGTAATTAGTTCCATTATTAATTGCTCTTGCTGTCAGAAAATGTTTGCTACACCCTTCCACTACTTGAAGAATGGTTTTCTATATCCACATAATATTCTGTTCTCAAAACTAAACATTCTGTTTTCTTAATTTTCTCTTTATAGGACTGGCTTCTAGTACAATGATCATCCTGATCTTATCAATATTAGGGATGAAGAAATGCACAGCAAAGAGTACAAAGCTTACCTATAATTCTTCTGTCTGACCATTCTGATTCTAAGACTAAAATAAAGATTTAAGATGGAAAACTATCTTTTTTCGATTTCCCTGACTTTTTGCAAATTTTTTGGCACTTTTAAAAAAATAGTAGCTAAAACAATTACAAAATTTTAAGTAGACTCTGACTATCTCAAATATTAAAATGCCACTTCAAATACTGAAGTACCAGACTTATTTTCTAAAATGTGAAACCTATATTTTTTTTCAGCTATATCATCCTGTTGACTCACATGCAGTTTAGAAGCAAAGTCCCCCTTAAGCCAAGTTTAAATTCAAAATCTTACTTAAGTAAGACTTGGGTAGATTGGCAGGCAATAGATCACAATTGGAGATCTATTACTGTTGTTTGAAAATCTTGAGCAAGACTAAAAGTTACACACCTGGTTTCATCAGTCTTACTTCAGATAAGTACCTTGATGAATGAAGTTGCTATATATTTACAGGCTCTTCAACTCATTCAAAAGAAACCTAATTATCTATGTAGGACTATTCTTCTCTATATATATATACTTCTCTCTCTTAACAGAAATGGGAAACATGTCATATAAATGGATCTTAGTATTGACCAATTATTGTTGGTATTTGAGTTTCAGGTCTATTATGGATAAGAGAGCATTTCACCTTGGCAACATGAAGCTTGGGCAGGAGGTTACAGTCAGCAAGGGTCAGCTCATCCCCATCAAGAAAATTGCGTTTTGACACTCTTTCCTTTTCAGTGTTGCTTGTGTCTATCTCTTCAGGCAAAGGATTTCTCAGATAGTCATCCAACTTCTTCAAAGCCTTTGTTAACCCTTTCTCAAGACCTTAATAATTAGAAAGAAAAACTGGATAAATCAACTGTATAGTTAAATCTATGACAAAACAAAGGTATGAACCAGAATGATGACAATGCCTGTAATATTAGAATGGCCTAATGTATTAAACATCCACACTATTAGCAATATTTTTGGGTTGTCAAGGACTGAAAACAGGATACACTAAAGTAACTTATAAAAAATATAAAACACACTGACTATGCAACTTCGTTTTTTTTAAAAAAAGAAGTAAGTCAAATTCAGATCAAAACAAGATAAAGTTAATCAGATTGGATGAGAAAAATGTACCATAAACAATACTATTTTACTTACTTTATTAAAGGCCAGAGGCCAAAAACTGTACACAAGAAGCATGTTACAAAGGAAAATTAGTGATTAACTCTATAAATGCTGTCAACTCTACAACAAACCTGGCTGCAACCATTTTGCTCATTCTAGGTTGCTATAAGAATGGAAGAGGGTGTGGAGGATTTTTACTGGTCTAAACATATTGCTGTCCCATGGGAACCAAGGTCATTTCTGTCAGTTAGATGGGGGCGTGAGCATTTAGTTAGAAAGCCTGCCAAGCTATTCTATTCAAGAACATAGCTGATTGCATGGCATTGGGGTGGAAGTTCAACTTTGTAATATTGTTTCGTTTTGGAGGGGATTTCAGACTTGGTTTCACTTTTGACAGTGCTGATACTATGTAACCAATAAACATGTTCTTTGAGGAGGTTTCAAGCCTCGAAGTTCTGATTTGTTTGGTCTGGTCTATCAGAACCTTGACATACTCTATATAATATAGACCCAAAAGAGTCAGATCCCAAGACTTCTAACAGAATTCCAACTGAGCAAAACTTAACTGAGTTACACGTAACAGGGAATGTTGCATGTAACATGGATATAACTATGGCTGGTAATATACTGCATACCCTCTCTGTAGTATTACAAAGTATTATGTGAAACTTTGATTGGCCAAGGTTATGATGGCTGAGAAGGTCAAATACTATGAATCTATCTGGTGATAATCACAGTATATGGAGGATTGTGGTTTGAAATGTAAGAACAGTAAATGGTAAAGAGCATAAATTAATACACATTATAAAAAACAGAAATATCAACTTCAGTATCAGATTAGGAATTCAGAGTTCGATGACAATTGTATGTTGTTAATAAATGATGATAACGGAAATTCCAAAAATTAGTTTTGAGGAAACCTGTTCAATATTCTGAATAAACCCCATGTAGAAAAAAATGATTCTGTTATATGAATGATCACATTCCCCTAAAATGAGTAGGAATGAGAAAGAGAGAACTAATTAGGCTATTTGGAGACCCAAGAATGAATACAAATGATGAGTGGGGCAATTTGCTTAGGAAATGGTTTGTAATTTCAAATATAAGCATAAATCTGTTAATACATGCATATGGCAAAGGAATATAAATCTAAAAGCATGATTGATTTCCTTCTGACTGAAGAGTAGAGAATTGGTGAGGAAAAAAACAGGCCATAAAAATTTCTGAATGTGAAGCAAACCATTTTGTTAAACTTGCAAGATTGGATCTTGGGGAAAGAGTTCCTTTTTAAAAAATGAATAACATTAGATTGAAAGCAGAGCTATTACAAGAAAGGGGAATCTTGAATGAAAAATATCAAAAAGATAGATCAATCTCTCAACATAATACAAGGTAGAATAAAAAATAAACTTAAATAAAGAAGATGTAGAAGCTGCTGGGAACAAAATGCTATTCAGGTGGTCCTCGATTACAACTCTTTATTTAACAATGGCTCAAGTTAGGACAGCCTTGGAAAAAGTGATTTACAACCTATCCTCAAAGTTATGACCATAGCACCATGCTATGTTCATAACATTTATGATGAATCCAGCGTCTTGTGGTCAAATGGTCGTGAATTACAATCTTCCTAGTCAGCCTCTGACAATTGCATTGAATTGAAGTGAACTTTAATTGGCCAAGTGATTCGTTTAGCAACCACGGTAACAGTAGTCGTAAAACCTGGTCCACTAAAATGATGAATCGCTTAATGACTGCATCACTTAGCAACCCAAATTCCAGTTCCTATTGTGGTCATAAGTAAGTAACCCTGCACCACCTGCAGAAGTGTAATGAGAAGGATGAAAAAGAATGTTTAATGGAATTAAGTGAAAGAGGATATGGAGAAGAAAAAATACATATAAGAGAATGATTGCTGCAAATAATGAATAAAAATATTGTACAGTATTATAGAGAGAACAAGATCATTACAAAAATGTACTTAAAGAGAACAAAGAATGGTTAAAATTAAGGGGCAGAAAAAAGGCAGAGAAATGTTGACAGAAATAAAAAATGCTTTGGAAGTTGCTGAAGAGCTAAACAAGGAATCTTAAGCAGGATGAATGGAATTAAAATAAAAGTGACGAAATTATTTGGGATGAAACTGAAGAAAAGCTGAAAGGAGTCTTTTGGAGATTTATATAAAGATAGTAATGAAACGTCAAAGAATGGAATTGAAACAAATGCTACAAATGTTAGTATTCGGGGGAGGAGATGAAAAGCAAGTCATAAATGATGTAAAAATGTGTAAGCCTGCAGATGTAGATGGTAATTTGTCAAATGCTAAAATATGAATATGGTTTGCTCAGGCAGTGGCTGTGTGACTTAGTTAACATGTGTATGAGGGATCAATCTGTGTCTGATGATTGAAAGAATGTTGTCACTGTTCTCCTATTCAAAGGGGAAAGGCATAAATGAATACAAAAATTACATGGGGATTAGGGAAGATGTTCGGCAGGATTCTGATCAAAAAGGCATAAGAAATAACAATGATCAAAATCTGAGAAGTGCAATTGTCTTTCTGCTAAGGAAAGATGTATACAATTTTTGATTCTCAGTAGGTCACTGAAAAATGTTTGAATATGAGAAAGAAATTTTATTGTACATTTGTTAGCATATGATAAATATACAGGGAAAATTATGGAACATTGCCTAAATATGGAGTTGAAAATTGATTGCTAAATACAATAGAAGCAGTTTTATTGTAACAAAAGATGAATGCAGTACGAGAAGTAAATATATGAAAAATATGTTGTCCTTGGGTTTTTAATGCATTTTTGTCAAGTGTCATATAAATTATTGTACTGAGGGTATAGATGTTTTAGTTGTGGACACAAACTTACATGTACATTTAGATGTAGATGTTGGCATGTTTTTTTCAATGAAAAAATTGAATTGCTGTGAATATTACACAAACTGTATAATTCATTGAGTACCATAGACCTATATATTTATATATCAAGAATCAAGTAGTTGCGCTTAACAGGGAAAAAGGAGTGGACAATTGCAAATTATGCTAAATGATAAACAACTAAAGTAAACAAATGAATCTGTGTAGAATGTTGACTAAATATGAGAAAATAGCTGGAAAAAATGTTAAGTTGTACAAACAGAAAGATTTGTATGTGTTTTGTTCTGAGGAATGAATGTTTTTCTAAAAAAAATAAAAATGGCTACTGACTAATTTATTACACGAGAATGAAAGTTGGATATATCAGGAAAAATGTAAACACAAGTTGTATGCAATAGGAATGAGGTCCTTAGAAATTTGCATAATAAAACACGGATGAGAATAAATGATATTGAATAAATGTGGACTGAATGCGAGAGCAAGTGATTAATATGAAAGAAGCACATTCAGATAGTTTGAGAGAATAAAGGAGATTGAATCATAAAACAAATATATGTTCATTCTGCATCTGGAAAATCTGATATAACCTCTAATATTGTATTCCTCTTGAGAAAAAATGTATTTCTGCTCTACCATAAGAGTCAGGCAGCAGAAAATATTAGAGAATTTAAAACAACAAATTTTCTCTGTGATTTTGGTGGTCTTCTGTCAAAGAAGATGTCAAGGGCTATCTTTATTGTTACCACACTCGTTATATCATGCCAAACTTCTCACTAACAAACTGGATGGAAGTTGTATCCATTCCCTCCGCATAGAGGCTTTGGCATTTAGTTTCCTTGGGTTTGATTACTCACCTACCGCATGCCAAAGGCCTGGATGTCATTCTGGTGGTGGCTGATCTTTTCCCATAGTGCCTTTCCTCCTCTCCTGAAATGGCTGATCTATTTTAGTCACAGGTTTTCTGAAACTACGAGCTGCTTTACCATTTCATTTTGATAGAGGTACAGAATCCATGGCAGGTTTTTTGGAAAAAAACTAATTCAGCTCTAGGATATAAACCTCTAGCTGTTTTGTGTTCATTGCCTACAATCACAGGAATACCCACAGGGAGGGGTTGGGAGGGGAATTGTTAAATCAACATCATGCCATAGTAGCACAAACCTCCGCTCCATTTGCACATCTTTGAAGACACTGCATGCACATACAAAGGGAGTGGAGCTTACATTATGACAGCATGATAAATTTAATAAATTAATTAATAATAAATGATACTTCTTTCATCACTTTGACAAAATCCTCCATTCCTGAAGATATATCCCCATAAATGGATGGAAAAATATACAGGACAAATGCCACCTTAGAGCAATAATGCCATTGCTAAACAAATCACCAGCAAGAAATAGGCCTGATAATCTAACCTACAGCTGAGTTTGCTTATTATAACTGGGTTAATGCTTCTAATAGAATGTTGCAATTTCAGGCCATTTTCTGTGAGGACTCATATTTGGAAAAGTTGGAAGCCAAGAATTTAAATCCTGAACAGGAATGTACACAATTTGATTTCTCGGTTTACCAGTGGGCACATCTTCTATCCATACGTAACTGTTATCTTGTCTGCAAAAAGCAACTTGTCTAGCCATGCCATATCTGCAAGTTTCTGCTGCAAGCAAATTCCTGAATATGAGATTTAGTGTTGGGAGAGATTTATTACTGAGCCAGGCATAAAGTCTGCCAATTTCAGCCTAAATAGAAATTTAAATCCAGATTTCTATGGCTGTAATCCAAAATTCTATCACTGACATACTGGACGTACTACTGCAGT